GTGGATCATAACAAACTGTGGCTGACTCTGAGAAGAATGGGAATCCCAGAACATTTAATCGTGCTAACCTGTACTTGGACCAAGAGGCAGTCATCAGAACACAGCAGGGTAACACTGCATGGTGCAAAATTGGGAAGGGTGTATGCCACGGATGTATCCTATCTCCATACCTTTTCAACCTGTATGCAGAGTAGATTATCTGAGAGGCTGGGCTCAATGAGGAGAATTCTGGCATCAGGATTGGTGGAAGATCTATTAACAATCTGCGTTAGGCAGATGACACAACCCTGCTTGTTGAACCTGAGGAGGACCTGATGCACTTACTGCAGAGGGTCAAGGGCTACAGCCTTCAGTATGGACTGAGGCTCAATGTAAAGAAGACAAAAATTCTCAACACTGGACCATTTGGTAGCATCAGGATGGATGGCGAAGAGATTGAGATTGTTCACAGCTTCAGTTTGCTCAGCTCCATGGTCAATACTCTTGGCACCAGCAGCCAGGAAATAAAAAACGTATTGTGATGGGAAAGTCTGCTGTTAAGGACCTCTCTAAAGTACTCAAGTAGGATTTATTAGGAATAAGAAAAGAGGAACAGATACGGAGAGTATTGGGAGCAGGAGATTACGCCTTGATAACTGATAAGGAGAGATAAGAAGGGAGTTACAGATGATTCAATAGTAAATGACTTAGAAAATGGTCACGCTGTTGGCAGAAATAAGCAAGCTGGATTGATGAGGGAGAATATGAACGTCCATCAGAAGTGAGAACCACGAGGGCTGGTGGAAAACCAGCACAGGATACTTTGGAACTTTGATGATGAAATAGGACTCACAGACAGAGAGGCAATTTAGGCTGAATTTATTTAAAATACTCCTAAAGAGCACCTCAACTTTCCTTTTAAATAACTACTTAGCTTTTACTTTAAGACAACACTGAGGATAAAACTAGGTATTTTTCTATCACTTCACACTTGAATTTCCAAATGGATTTATCGATCTAAAAAGACTGTAAAGATATTGCTAACACATAACACTAAAGTGGGAATACTAAAACTAAAGAAACATCCGTATATGCTCACCTCATTTTACTGTGACTCTTCACGGGCAAGGCATTTTTTTTTTTACAGGTTGAGGGTATTTGGCAACCCTGCAAGCATCATTTGTCCAACAGCATGTGTTCACTTCATGTCATATTATGGTAATCCTAACAATTTTCCAGGGATGTCTGGTGGCTTAGTGGCAAGGTTGCTGGTTTAAATCCACCAGCTGATTTTCTGTTGCAGTCAACTCCTTTGAAATTTTGCTGTTGTTGTTAAGTACCATCGAGTCAGAACCAAGTCATAGCTGACCCTCCAGCAGGTTTTCAGAGGCAGTAAGTCTCACGGGAGGAAAATGCCTAGCTTTCTCCCAGGAAACCAGCTGGTGGATTCAAGCCGCAGGCCTTCGGGTTGGCAGTGCAGTTCTTTACCTCAGACCACCAGAACTTCTGCATTATTTACTGCCTCTGAAAACTTGCTGGAGGGTCAGCTGAGTCAGTACCAAC